TGTGTGTGTGTGTGTGTGTGTGTGTGTGTGTGTGTGTGTGTGTGTGTGTGTGTGTTTTAAAAGGGCCTTTACCCGTTCAGACCCTGAATGACAAACACAGCATACTGGGGTCACTCGGTCAGAGCCCAACTCGTGAAAAGCAGATCAAAAGACATGTTCTCTGGGTCAAAAGTCACATCCTAACTGAAGTGACGAGTTGTGTCAAAGGTCGTGCCCCAGGACGAACAGTTGCAGCAATCAATTGTGAGGGTCGCGTCTGTTCATCCAGGGGGCTGTGCAAGTCATGTCTGTTTGGGCAGTAAATGTGTCCGTTCGTGCTGTTCATTAAGAAGTCAAAGAGATAAGGTCCCAGTCTAGATTCAAGTCAAAGAGGGAGTCTAGATGCAGTCTGGAAGTCCGAAATCCAGGCCTAAAGGCCGCCGCAGCAGCAGACCCTGAGAGAAAGGTACTGGGACACATTCTGCAGTGGTCTGGGACTGGGAAAGGATCCAAGGAAGGCTGATTCAGACCTCGCGAAGGGAGGCCAGCACTATAAAAGACCAGGCCAGCCTCCCTACACGACAGATTCCCATTGGCATTGATGCGTGGAAGTGCTATTGCACTTGTGCGCTAGCATGCAGGGAGAATGCGCTGGCTGGAAGCTGCGCAAGCAGGAGAAGAAGAGGCTGGGCGCTGACTGGCAGAAGCAGCCATAGCTGCGCCAGCTATGTTAGTAGAAGCAGAGGGGTTAGTAGTAGGCATCAGTGAGTAGCATTCAGAGTAGATTCTCGTAGGTAGGGAGTGCATGTATGGTGAGACGAGGGAACCAGGACAGGGATCTCGAGAGGGAGAGAGAGAGAAGACAGGTTAAGGTGTTGGATATGGTGAACACTTACCTGCTGGCGCCATACTTATGATCTGAGGGTAGACGCTGGCTGAGCCAGGCCCTATATTGGTGAGTGAACGAGGGAGACTTGTAGTCTGTTGGCGCTGAACTCTTGAACTCGAGATACTCTTTGTATAATGTGATTTTGATAATATGACCTGCGCTATCTGGTTCTCATCTCATCTCAACTTGGCTTTGTGTGAAGCTTTCCTATCTGTGTGTTGACATCTATGCATGCGAAGTAATACACTCCAGCAAGCTGTGAACAGTCAGGTTCCTTGCAGTATGCACACACATCCCTTAAAAAAATAATAAAAAATAAAAAATAAAATAAAATCAGCGCATCGCTGATTTGCCGATTGGTGGAATGCCAGTAGTTTTATCAGCCTGGCCCTGATCGATATGCAGCCGGACGGAATCGACCTGGTGACCTCGGCCATAACAATCGGATGCCTTTACCACTGCAACAGTGGCCCAGTGTTAAAACCGAATTCATACCCGTCATGACATTCAGCCCACCCCAGCATGGCTGCAGCAAGGACTTACTCGTCAGCACTTGACATCCGCGAGATCCTCCGAAGGCAGCAGCAGCATCCACACAGACACCATCATCCAGATGACCTCCCTTGGCTGGTTCAAATGGTTGGCTAGTCGGTCGCCGGCCAATCCAGGGGCACTGACCGTTTACTATTTTTCCAGTATTTTATGTCACACTCTGGCCACTGCGAGGGTTTGACCCCTCGGCATATGGCCCTGCAACAGGTGCGTGCCCGCCCTAAGTGAAGGCGGGCCCCCTGAATCTGAATGCGCCCTGAACGTGAGAATGGGAAAGACAGTTGCAAATCTTTGTCGGCGCCAGACAGTTGCCCATGCCAGTTGGTTACATCCGCCCTGCACGTGAGAATGGGAAAGATTCGTGAGCCTTCCAGGCCATTCTAGCAACATGTTCGAAGCAGAGGGCAACGCACCTTTGCCCCTGGGTGGTTGGGCGTGCCTAACCAATTTGGTCCCAGGCCACTGTCTGAACGGGCCTGGGCGCAGACACTTCGGACCAATCTGAAGCGACTGGGCACACACGACGTCGGCCCGAGCAGCAAACAGGCCAGGCCGATATTTGTGCACTGCACTTGCGGGCAGCAGCGCTGCTAGAGCATCCACTTGCGGGCTTGCCGCGCCAGGGCACGGGGGCACACGGGCGTCAAGTGGGAACAGGGCGCTGCTGAGGGCAGCCCTTCATAGCCGGGCTTCGGGCTTGGATAGCCAGCGGGTGGTGGTGGTCTTCGTGTATGAGGAAGGTGTGGGTAGAGAAGACGAGGGAGAGGGGGAGAGAGAGAGAGAGAGAGAGAGAGAGAGAGAGAGAGAGAGAGAGAGAGAGAGAGAGAGAGAGAGAGAGAGAGAGAGAGAGAGAGAGAGAGAAATTTGTAGGCTGGTAGTAGCTGCGTGATTGTAGTCTGGGCGCCGAGCGCCAGATAGGGGGAAGAGCTCTGGATACTTGGGTTGGTGATGGCGAGAGTATGCTCTCATTGACACTCAGATTCAGTGTTTTGGTTCTCCATTGGTGTAATATAGGTGCAATTCTGCTCTCTGGACAGTGTCGGACTTTCTGGCTTTCAATGTGATTTTGCAATCTGGAATCTGTCATTTTGCTATTGCTCATTTTCCTCCATTACCAAAACAGAGAGCATGCACAAACGGAAGGATTGCACATCACTAGCAGCTGAGCTCCACCGCCCACAGCAGTCCGGCCCCCCACGCTCCCAAGAGCCAAAAAAGTCAGCCCATGAGAATGTCACCCCCAGTAAAAATAAAAAAAAATGCCCTCTGAGCCCGTCCACAAACACTCCACAAATCAGAGGGCTAAAGCCAAAGATAACCCTCCCTCGACACCAGGAACGCCATTGCGTAATAATTTCATAAACCACCCGTAAGATCCAGACATAAACATCAGTAGTCAAATACTTCCTGCGAGGACTGAGCCCTCACGGGGCCCTTATCAGACATTCAAGTGTTCTGGGTGGCGGCCCCCAGCAACCCTCGTGCCCCGCCCTAAGTGAAGGCGGGCCTGAATATACACGTGAGGCCAATTTTGACATTTTTTGTATGCCGGGTATCAGACAGTTGCAGCACGCCAGATGGTTACACTGCAACATGAGCCTTTCGTGGCTCCTTCCAGAAGCTGTAGCTGTGTCAAACAGTTGAACCCAGGGTGGTTGGGCGCACGCACTCAGAGGCCGACACATCATGGAAAGGCCGCCGGCCAATGAGAATGCAGCATTGTCGTCACACACCTACCGTGGGGCAATGAGATAGCGGCAAACACTTGGGAGCCTGGGAGGCTGCCTGGACGTGCCTAACTGCACGAGGCCCAGGCCAGTATCTGAAACTGGGCCCGGGCGCAGACACCTGGGCCCAGCATGAAGCTACGGGGCCCCTACACGCCTGGCCAGACCAACCAGCCGCGCAGCAAACTTTCCATAAAGGAAACTGTGCGCCCCTGGGCACGGCGTTCTGGCCTGTGCAGACGAAGCGGCCACACTGCTGCGTTGTAGCACGAGCAGCTGTGCTAGAGCGGCTGGCCAGGGCGCACACGGGCGCTAAGAGGTTAGAGGGCGCTGCGGTGGCAGTGAGCGCATGGCAGCCATAGCCAGGTTGCGCATGACGGTGATGGTGGTCTTCGGGTACGAGGCCCATGCAGAGTGGAGACAACCTGTGATGAGGGGAGGAGAGAGAACGTACCTGGTGTATGCTGGCGGTCGCATTGGTGATGACGTCACGTACATTGGTTTTCAACTTCGACGTGATCTGGTTCCATGAACGCAGACGGGTGTAGATAGGCTGAGTAGTGTAGGCTGGGCGCTGGGCGCCATTCAGTAGGAGCATCATTGGGTACCGTGTTGGTGTGGCCAGAGAGCATCGACATTGACATGTGAGCTCATTCTTTTTTTTTTTTTTTTTTTTTTTTTTTTTTTTTTTTTCTCTCTCTCTTATGTTGATGGTATCTTGGTGCATTGTGCCCTCTGCTTGGTACATGAATATCTCGGCTACTTCGTGATTTTGCAATCTGGATTTCTGTCTATTGCTCTCGCTCATATTCCTTGCACTACCGTCTTCACCTGAATAAAACGCCCGGTAATTTTCGCTGCATCTGAACTGATAGTTGTGCCAAATGCAGCTATAATGACCGGGCGTTCTATTCGGGCGACGACGGTAGGAATGGCAGTCCATACGCATGCCCTATTAAAAAATTCAAAACCAGACTTCAAAGCAACTATCAAACCAACAGGAGTGCAATCATTGCAATTCAAAGTTCAAACAAACGAACAAAACAAAACAAAACAAAAAACAACAGGAATTGCACAAACAATCAGGAGCCCGTCACTAAAAGTCCCTACACATGATGGAAGAGGACAATCCCCACCCACCTCCTCGCCAGGTCGCTCTTCGGTTAGCGTTCTCTGCTCCTTGCCGCCCTCCTGTGGCGCGACCATTTGTTCGTCGCCTTCTCTACTTCCAGCATTTTCACCTGCAGCAGGAGGATGTGAAAGTTGACGTCACAACAATAACAACTACGTAACTCACTAAGCGAAGACTTCATGACAGTAATAGCAAAACCTTCCTATCAAAAAAAAAGAATTTCCAAGACTCGACACTTTCAAGTTTCAACAGGCTATGCGCACAACACCCTTCAGCTGGAGCAATATTCTGGTGGGCCTTCGTCTGACTGGAATGTGCTTCAGGCACAGTGTTCATGTAGCACAAGAATCATGCCATAGTGGTTCGAGCTCCATCATGCACACACACACACACACACACGCACATGCACATGCACACGCACACACACACAAACACACACACACACACACACACACACACACACACACACACACACACACATCTATCAATATATCTTTGCCTCTTATCTATCAAGGACTTTACGAAGGAGGAGGAGGAGGAAAGGTAAGCAAGTGGAGAAGAAGAAGAAGAAGAAGAAGAGGAGGAAGAAGAGCACGAGGAGAAGGAGAGGGAATGAAGGAAGGAAGAGGAAGAGGAAGAGCAAGGAGGAGGAGGAGGAGGAGGAGGAGGAGGAGGAGGAGGAGGAGGAGGGGGAGAACGAGGAGAAGGAAGAAGAGGAAGAAGAAATGCGAAAAGAAAAAGTGCAAAAAGCAGAAGAAGACGAAGAAGAAGAAGAAGGAGGAGGAGGAGGAGGAGGAGGAGGAGGAAGAGGAGGAGAACGAGGACGAGGACGAGGGACGGATACCCATAAACACAGGAGCAACACATGCAATGATCACCCTGATCAAGTCCAGACAACTCACACTTCTTTGTAAACGGACAGAAGAGGGGCTTCTAAGCCCTGCCCTACTTTAACGAGTCCATGGAGCAGGGCAACATCACCAACATATTGCATAATTGACCACAACCATAGCCTCTGGAGGGGATTCAGAATTTCGGTTTTTGACGCTGCAAAGCAACCAAATGCTGAAACCACAAGCATCTGGCTGATACGGCCGAGATCACCGGTTTGATTCCGTCTGGCTGTAGAGGTTGATCCTGGCTGCTGTTCCCAGTGGGACACAAGAATGCGGTCCAAACAACACAGCAAACTTCAAACTTGTCAAATCATCAAATTATTACATTGTTAATTTATTATTTAATATTTCATATTTTATTACATTCTATAGAGAGTCAAATATACATCAAAATAAGACAGTGGTTCAGACCCTGGACTGGACCGGACCTGAAGGCACTCACCTTGATGATCGGAAGCATAGCTTGTCGATGACGCCAACCCATCTGTGCTTTGCTCTGCACCCTCAGGCGTATTACCCTTGCAGCTATCACCAGAGAGAGAGTCGCCACAAGTCTTCCAATTGTTGGGTGCATGTCCGGGCGAAGCATTTCAGAGACCAACCAAGGTAGGCACAAGAGTTCCACAGACCAAGTACGTCCACCAGTGGCGACCCATTACCGATTGGAAGGAGCGAATCGACGAATGAAATTAAGGAGCGATATCCCCAGGCGGTTCACAGCACGTCGGCAGATCGACAAATGTGCAGTAGAACGGTCCCAGGCGATTGAGAGAGCATCGGCGGATTGACGAATGTGGAGTACGACGTTCGCAGGCGATTTCAGATAACAACAAAGAGAGTCAAACCGACAAATGCCACGAAAAACTGAATCAGGAGGAAAATATTGGTGAAGACAGACAACAATATTCTATCAGCTTGCATCACTAGCAAGAACTCACACGATGCTTTTCCCCATATCTCCCTATATTCTATCTGCTAAGCAAGACCGACATTGCTAACCAGAGTTACATTGGCACGAGCACATAGTCACTGCTGACCCGAGCATATTGCCAACTTGTGAGGAGGAGGAGGATCCACAAGTAGATATCTTCCATGTTGGATGGTCACATATTGTTGTTTCAGATCCACCTTCTATGTTGTTTCAAACCCACTTCCTTTGGTTCCTTTTCCCCTAATTGAGGGGAATCGGACCTCCAATCTCCTTGTGTACGTTCGTCTTTCCCCTCCTCCATGAGGACACGACAGTCTACAGGATTCTGTGGGCCTCGCCGCGCTACTCACCAAATGTGCAAAATGGAGCACGTATCCGTTGCTAGAACATGGAAATATATGTCCGCCATAGCTTTTGTCTTTTTCACAATTGGCGAGCGGTGCAGCGAGCCCCACAGCAACAGCACAGACAACTGGTGGTCAAGATGCAGTCAGATGTACTGTTGGTTAGAACTTGAAAAAAAAGTACTAGCCAGAGTAGCCGGAGGTCATCACAAAGCAGTAACTACAAGTTAGAGTAACTGGAAGTTAAAACCCAGTCAGAGTTACTGGTGGCCAAAAAAGCAGTAAGTACCAGTCAGAGTTACCGCTAGGATAGGGTATAACCCCGGGTAGGGTAGGGTAGGGCATACCCTAGGGTAAGATAAGCTAGGAGGTATATGCTAGGGTAGGATAAGGTAGAGAAGGGTAGGGTAGGGTAGGGTAG